GGGGGGGGGGGGGGGGGTGTAGTAAACATAAATGATAAATTTATTGTTGTATGAAGATTTGGTAGTATTAGTCTTTCGTAATGCCTTTTTAAAATCAAGCACTTGTGCCACGTTAATTACCTTTAGTCTCAATCGTCATCAAATAATTAGGCTATCTTGACATTAAATTAATCTTTTCCTTTGTATCAAAGTTCAACACTATTATTTTTATAATTTCGTTTCCTTCGACGTGTGAGATAAGCTTAAGATCAACGAAACCGTGGAAAAAATATATAGGGGAAAGGAATAACAATATTTCTTTAGCACTAGTCAAATGGAAAGAAAAAAAAAAGGAGTCCAATTGCTATTCATATTAGAAATGATATTTGACAAAGTAATAGGTTCGAGTCAAAATGTCCATACTTCAATAGATGTATATAAATGTGCTATATAATGCATTCAAAATACTATTAGTATATAGTTTTCTTTTACTTAAAGTCTAAAGAATTATAAAAGAAAAGCTACATAAAATCCAATAGCTTCAAGATCTAGGGAAAAAGAAAAGGCATGCATGTTTTTAGAGTGCTACTTTCTTTATAAGAAATAAAGTCCTGGCTGTGTAAGGAAAAAATCGCCTTACCTTTTTCTTTCCTTCTTTTTCTCTCTTCTAAATACATAATTTTTCCTAAGAGAAACTCTTGCACTCATTGTACATTTAGATCTTTACGGTAACAATCTTATTTGTTCCGGATACTTTTTGATTATTATAGTGAAGTGCTATTATATAAAATATATATTAGAACATCGCATGAAAAAATAGTTTTAAAAAAACTTGAATATTATAGTAATTGTTATTTTATAATATATATATATATATATATATAGTAAATTTTTAATAGTAAATAAGAAAAAAAAATCCAAATTCGACTCTCGACTATACCTTCTTAATTTTATCATATCTTATATTTGAATTCATTCATATTTCATACTTTTGACATTAGTAAATTGTCTCTTATTTTCTGTTCATCTAACGGTACTCTAATTTGGACGTCAATGCAAGCAAATACAAGATATTTTGCTAGGGATAAAGATATGAATAAACTCAAGTAAAACAATGGATAAAATAAGAATATCTCGTATAGCATAGGGAATTTTGACCACTTTTCCTAATAGTATTTATATTCGATATAAATTATTTTCGTAAATTATGTGAACTTTGACTAATATTTTAAAATATATTTTTATCATATTAAATAGATCTAACTCATTTTAACTTCTAAAATCCTTGATCTTCCCTATGTTTATTATCTTCATCCGACCCCGTGAAATCTGACTTCTTTTTCTTAAATGCCCAAATCGTTCATTCAATCTTATTTAATGCTCCTTCAACTATATGAGAC